GAACTCCTGATCTTGTGATCTACCTGCCTCGGCCTCCCATAGTGCTGGGATTACAGGTGTGAGCCACTGCACCTGGCCGTTTCTGGTATTTCTATTAACAGATTTCTAAGGATGGAATTAAAAGTGGACCTATCTAGTGTTAGATTAGGTTCATGGTATTAAAACTGGTTTTTTGCTTGTTTTATGTTATTCAATGGTGACATCTACAGGCCTATGATGAGAAACACAGACTAATGCTGAATTTACCTGTACTATTTTATGACAGGTGTGAGTCCTAACCTCATACTGAACATTACTTTTGGTAACTCCTTGGTGCTACAGGAGAAAGTCAAGTTAGGGAAACAAAAAGTATATGATCAAAGGCCCAATTATGAGAGTGCTTCCAGTCCATAACTTACTGTGATTGGAGGGATGCAAGAGATTTTCTGAAGGTAGACTGCACATCTAACTGCAGCAGCCTAGGAATATCTGGGTACCCACCCAGCTGGGCCCAGAGTGAATGCATAGATGTCTTCTCTGCTATTGGGTAGCTTGTAGTGGACAGATCAACATTCCAGATGGCCTCTGTCTGGTCCTCTTGTTGTCTACAGAATCAGAGCATAAATTGGAAGCACCAAATTTTTCTGAGCTCCATAGCCCATTAATATATATCTTATTCACCCCTATCTACCACCCCCTAGTCCTATAATGCCCTCCCCTTGCACTGACCAGCATTAGCTCTGCCCACTTTGACAGACAGATGGATGAAAAAGCAGAACTTGCTGAGTTACCAAAGCTGCATTTTCATTACTTCACCTAGTAATCCATTTTAAAACTACCATTTTAGCTTCATGGCTTATAGAGACCATATAACTTTTCTCCTTCCTTCCTAAAGCTCCTTCCTCCTTAAAAAAAAAAGAAAGAAAAGAAAAAGAGAGGATAATGCTTCTAAGTTTCTTTATTAAAATAATTTGTTTTTTTAGTAAGAAAGAATCAGCTTTATTTTTAGAGGAACTCAAAATCCAATGTTAAATATTTAAGTAGAAATATATGTAAATTAACCTCTTGCAAAATTAGCTAAGGAAATTAATACTCCTTTAGACTTTCCATTGTACCATTTGATAATTGTGGGGAAAGGGAAGCTCTTGCACAGGAAATTAGGTCCCACATATCGTCCAAACAAAGTTTAATATCAGTCTTTCTAGCACATACCTAAATTTCTTGAATATGTCAGAGGTTCTGTCCTCTTCCATTAGTAGTTTTAAGAATGGCTTTTGAACAAATATGGTAGAGGCAGGTGTCTGCTTTCCTTCGATGATTAAGGGGATAGGTTGACTAAGATTCAAATCATATATCTTTTTGAGCTATAAAAAAATTAGATCAGAAAAAGGAAACCATGAAAAGAGAATCTTTAGAAGGGTCTTCAGAGCTGTCCCTAGACTAAACTGTGACTCCACCTTTTCCATGGATTTGCAAATCCTCTCCCTACTCCACCCGCTTCCAATATTCATAATTTCAGAGGTGGCAGCTCTGCTATGTAAAAACCTTAGTCCTACTTAAGCTCAACTCCTCGTTCTCTCATTTTCTTGAGATGTTGGGATAGTTGCTTAATTTATCTGTACTTCTTTCTGCTCACTTCTAAAACAGGGATAATAACACAGGATTGTTGGGAGAATTGTAAAACACAGTATATATGGAAGCACTTTACAAATTGAAGCAGTGTGCAACTGTAATGATAGCCAGCATTTACTGAATACTTACTGAATGTCAGACACTGAACTAAGCACTTCCCATATATTAGCTGATTTTTTTTTTTTTTTTTTTTTTTTTTTTTTTTTTTTTTTTTTTTTTTTTTTTTT